CGAGGAGGTGGCTGGAGCCAGAGCCGGCGTGTACAAACACGGACCCGCTCCCTCCACCCACGCACTGCACGCACACACCCAGAGCATGCCCAGATGAACCCGTCCCTCCAGCTGTGCCCAGGCGTGGGAACATCTGCACGCTTCGTGCGCTCCAGTGCCACGGGCAAAACCGCTCCGTCCCCAGCCGACGCTCACCTGAACATTTCAGTTACTTCTCCCTTGGCCAAGGCCACGAGAAGGGGGAACCCGATGCAGGCAGGGACCAGGTACAGAAGAGCAGGCTGTCGGGAAGGAAAACAACTGTTAAAGCACAAATGACCCGTTGGGAGGAGGGCAAGGGGAGCTGGCAACGGCCCCTCTGCACCCACCACATCTGTCACGGTGCTGCACAAGCATTAATGCCCCGGAACGGGGCTTCGAGAGCTGCAGCAGCACAACACCCTCGCTGTGAGGTCCCAGCAGACCACGAACACACCCAGGGGCCCCTGTGCAGACCAGTGACAGCACCCAGAGCTCCCACCCCGCAGCAGAGGGTGGGTCTTCAGGGGCAGCTGGGTTGCAAAGAGCCACAAAACCACGGGGCAGCCCAGCCAAGCTGCTGTTGTTGGAAACGCAGCTGCCTGAGCCAGCCTTGCCCCAACCAGGACTGCTCCAGCCAGGCACACAAGCTCTGGGCAGGGAAAGGTACAGGCAGGCGCTGGAAAAGCAAAGCCAAGAGAAGGAATGCATCTACTTTTTCCTGGCACGGTGCAGGAACCCTGTGGCCAAGCTGGCGTGCCCTGGTTGGGACGTGCGTCCGCGCGAGGCAGCGCGGCGGAGCTCACCTGGGCGTGCTTGAAGATGTGCATGATGAAGATGGTCAGGCCCAGCCCGAAGATGTAGGCCACAAAGCTGGTGTAGAAATACGTGTGCGTGTTCTTCTTCAGGCTGCAGGGAAAGGGAGCAGAGCCCAGTGACCGTGGGTCTGCGATGCCCAGGGCAGAAATGGAGCTGGCCCGTTTCATGGGGAGCCGTGCTCTGCCCCTGCTCACGCGCCAGCGCAGACTGTCACCAGCACAACCCCCATGGGAGCAGTTTGGGACTGGATGGGGTGACACCCAGGTGAGGGGCTGCGGAAGGGAAGGAGATGCAGGATCCTGCTGCTGGATGGCTACTGGGGGGGAGGAATTGGTGCTGGGACCCAGGGAGAGGGTCCCACCTTCCTGGGGGAGGCACGGCTGGTCTCTGGCACCCCGCTCTCAGCACGTGCTGTTTTATCACAGGGCAGGCAGCGGGAACTGGGATTCCCAGCAGGTGCAGGCAGGATGTGGGTGGAAACACCTGGAAGAGCTGGCACAGACCGGAGGGTCTGTGCAACAGCAGCGGGAGCGGGGCCACACCACCGCAGTCGCACGAAGTGGCCCGTTCCCCTTCCCAGCAGCTCCCCAGCCAGAGACTTTCGGTGTGGGGCAATTACCGAAAGCTACACCCTGGCAGGAGGTGCAGTTCCCCTGAGCAGGAAGGAGCTGCTTCCCCCTGTGTCGATGGCAACCCAGAAGCAGCTGCCGGGCACTGATTTGCATCCGTGCGAGCACTTCCCAGGCGCCAGCACCCCCGGCTCTTTCCCATGCTGTCACCGTTTCACGTCGCTGCTGCAGCACTGCCCTCTCCTCCTGGGTGCCAGGGAGCTGGTGAGGCTCAGGGGGGGCTGTTACATGCTGCCTGCCCACCCACTCTGAGCTCAAACAACTCACCCCCAGCAGTCAGGACTCACCCACAAAGCCAACCCTG